GCCGCCCCAGCCACACCGAAGCTGCCAATACTGGCTACAAACCGACCAATCTGCAAAGCATCCCTGGCTACCTGGGCCCGCACGCAGGGCCGGGTCTTCCCCCCGCTGCCCAGGTGACCAGAGCATCGCCTCCCAGGCGCCAGGCTTTTGTCTGCAGACAAGGAGCGAGATCCCTGCTGTGAGAGATTCAACAGCAGCCTCTCAGGCCGGCTGAGACAGATCTCTGGAGAGGGGCACCGACGGGGGCATTTCTGCCACACACACCACCTTGGTCGCCCGGCTGCACTACTGCAGCAACCGACTCGCACACTTCTTCTGTGACCTGCCAACCCTGATGCGACTTTCCTGTACTCGGCCCTTCCTCAATGAGATGGCCCTATTCACTGAGGGTGTCATATCGGTGCTGAGTCCTTTTGTCTTTATCTTGGCCTCTTATGCCCTCATTGGGGTTTTCTTGTGCCACCGGCGCTCCGTCAGCCAACTGCGCAAAGCCCTCTCCACCTGTGGGTCTCACTTGACCGTCGTGCTGCTCTTCTATGGCACCGTGGCCTGGCTATACTTCCGCCCGGCTGCCAGCTTCGACTTGTTCCGAGACCGGATGGTGGCCCTCTTCTATACTGTGGTTGCACCAGCCCTGAACCCCCTCATTTACAGTCTGAGGAACAAAGAGGTTTTGTCTGCCATCAGAAGAGCCTGGAGGAAGGTCCTGGCTCACGGCCCTTGAGACGAGAAGGAGGTCTTATCACATCACCTGAAGTGGACCTTCCTGCCTATGGTGGGAATGTATGTTCCTTGCTTGGAGCATCATTCCCCTGTCAGCCATAGTCATGGGTGGAAGAGGAGGGGGGTGAGATGTGGCAGATGTCACTGGTGCTGCTCTTCAGATCATGAGAGGAAGGAATGAGGTGCAACTGAAGCCCCGGGCCCAGCAAGAGATACCAACAGGGTGGCAGGAAGATACCCATGGCTGTTGCTGTCCCCAGGCAACATGGGGCAAATGTCCTCTGCAGCCTGAAGCAGGGCTGAGTACCTCTGTGGCTCCCCATCACCTAGACCAGAAGGGTACAGCAGTGAGTGAATGGGTCCCTCCTCTCTGCATCTGGTCCTTGACTAGGCCCCAGGGTCCCCTGTCTGCCCAGGGGCTCCAGCTTCAGTGAGCAGCTGCGCAGGGACCTGGACTTGTCAGTGGTGGGCAGATCTCTGTTCCTGCCCTTGGTCCTTGCCACCCAGTCCCCAGTCTTCCCCACCACCCTGGGGCTCCTCTTCAGCCTGGGTCATCTGGGGGCGGTGTCAGCAGCAAATGGGATCACCTTTCCTGCACTTCTCTTTGCTGGCCCTCCTGGGGGAACCTGCCAGCCCAGGGGCTTCAGCAGCACCTTGGTAGCCTGAGCTCAGTAGCAGGGGTGTAACCTAGCATGCCTCAAGCACCCTGCTCTCCAGTTGCTGCTGCTGTGGTTCAGGAGTGGGTGCTGGCTCTGGCTGCTGAGGCTGGGGATGGGCTCCCCTTGCCCTGGCTGCAGAACTCCCCCCATGTGGGCTCCCCAGGGCCCCCGATCTCGAACCCCCTCCGCACTGGCTCCCAGAGCGCATGCCCCACTTGCACCCTCTAGATATGGTAGCACCCCATGCAGCAGCTTGTGCTCCAGCGCAGCTGCTGGCATGCAGAGAGCTCAGCTGTGTCAGGTAATGATGCCACTGCAGCTCTCAGGAGGTCTGCACATTATCCCCAACCGCACCCCATGCCACACAGTGAGTGAAAGTCGCTTTTTGCACCCAGTACTGGAGCTGTGAGAACCTGGGGGCATTGCACCAGCTCCCTTGCAGCTACCCCTGCTCTACCATCCCTCCTCCCTACCCTGGCAACAAGAATCAAAGAGGGGTGCCCCTGACCATGCCACAGTACCCCCTTGATCCACCCCTGCTCTCT